TACTCTTAGAAATATAAGAAAAAATTCCACCTAAAAATGACTTAAAATATTTTTCTATAGAAAGAACAACCCCTACTACATATACCATATACATATATACCTTACACTGATGCAGTGCTTCATAACCACAAGCATGTTTTACTTACACTTCTTATCTCATCCCTATGAGCTAGGCTCAAGATTGTTTTCACCCTCATCTAACACTCCCCTTTACCCTACGTGAATCTATCCTTTTTTTTTTTTTTTCTGAGACAGAGTCTCTCTCTGTTACCCCAGGCTAGAATGTCTCAGTGTCATAACTCACAGCAACCTCAAACTCTTGGGCTTAAGCAATTCTCTTGCTTCAGCCTCCCAAGTAGCTGGGACAATAGGTGCCCACCACCACACCTGGCTAGTTTTTCTTTTTAGTAGAGACAGGGTCTTGCTCTTGCTCAGGCTTATCTCAAACTCCTGAACTAAAGCAATCTACCCATTACAGCATCCAAGAATGCTAGGATTACTGCCATGAGCCACTATGCCCACCCATTTTTTTTTGAGACATGGTCTATTGTTTGGGCTAGAATGCAGTAGCATCATCATAGCTCTGTGCAACCTCAAACTCCTGGGCTTAAATGATCCTCCTGTCTCAGCTTCCAAAAGCTGAGCCTAGAGACATGTGCTGCCATATCTGGTCAATTTTTTTTTCTAGAAACTGGGTCTCACTGTTTCCCAAGTTAGTCTACTGGCCTCAAGCAAACCCCCTGCTTCATCCTCCCGAAGTGTTCGGATTACAGGTGTGAGATACCATGCCCAGCCTTACTCTAAGTCGATTTATCACCACTCTTCTTCATAATCTACACCCTCCTCCTACATTCCACCTCCAACCAGAGCCAATTAAATCTCTTTGCTCATATATCTCCTTCTCTGGAAATACCTTTCATTCATTCTATCAATGTTTAGCATAAATGCCATTTCTTCCATTAAGTCTTCCCTGGTGCTTTAATTTAAAAGTAATCATTTGCTCCTTTGAACTGCTTAGAACATTTAGCATTTTATATCTTAAGGGTATTATTAAGGTTTTAATATATGCCTTAATATCTCTGCCATGATGAACTTCATAAGGAAAAAGATTCTCTTACTTAAGATTCATGGGTATCAAGCATAATTGTAAGACACATAAAATTTGCTTTGAATATATGAATAAATTTTAAAACAACCCAGCAAATTCAAGGTATTAAGTTCATTTAACATATGAGGAGAAGTTAAATGGTGCCCTTGAAGCCAGAACAACTAACAGTAAGTGGAGCTGGGACTAAAACTCAGGCAGGTCTTTTGTTCTTTCCATAATAGCCAGATGTAGGTTTTTTTAAATAGTATTTCTATATATCCCACACAAGTACACTGCATTCACACTAAAGAAAAAGAACTACATTAAAATATGGTCATAAATTGTATATGTGTCAATATTAAATCATGAGTTTAGCGTAGACAATAATTATTTGAATTGATTTTTACTAATTGACAGTAAGAAGAACTCTAACAACATGAATGAAAACATGCTATTTAACGTAAAGTTCATATGTTCTCTAAAAGCTGTTATAACTTGGGTTATAATTTCATAACATACAGGCCAGGTATACATACCTGTATACACATCTATAATCCCAGCACTTTGGGAGCCCGAGCCAGGGGGATCGTTTGAGACCAGCCTGAGCAAGAGGGAGACCCCCATCTCTACTAAAAATAGAAAAACTAGCTGAGTGTTGTGGCTGCCACCTGTAGTCCCACACAGCTACTTGGAAGGCAGAGGCAAGAAAATTGCTCAAGACCAAGAGTTTAAGGTTACTGTGAGATATGACATCATGGAACTCTACCCAGGGTGACTGAGTAAGACTCTATCTCAAAAAAAAGAAAGAAAAGAAAAATTAGCCAGACATGGCGGCATGAGCCTATATTCTCAGCTACGTGGGAATTTGAGGAAGGAGGATCACTTGAGCCCACAAGTTTGATGTTGTAGTGAGCTTACATTCTAGCCTGGGCAACAGAGTAAGAACCTCTCTCAAAAAGAAAACTTTCATAATATATTAACATGATTGATAGTCTTAAGAAACATACTTATGTAGAATAATGAGTTTAGTAAATTATTTCTCAAATATCTGCTATCAGCTTTGTACTGTGTTAGGAATTTGAAACACAAAAATGAAAAATACACAGTCCCTGCAATCAAGAATATTAGTGAGACAGTGATATAAACTTTCTTATTCAGGCACTATTATAATTTTTTTTCCTTTATCTACCCTTCTTGAATCCAAAGACATTATAATGATTAATGAAAGCACTAATTACAATATAATGGATATTTATATAATAAATCTATTTCTAAGTCTATTTCTTTGCAGACTTCACTGGGCAAAATTTAATACTTATTAATAGTACACAGTTATCATTATAAGCATAAATAACAAACTCTTGAGGTATAACATTATTTGCCCTTAAATTAAAAGTCTTTGACTGTAAGAACCTTTGAGATTTGTGTCTGTTTTACTGCTCTTTGTGTGTATGCTTTCTATGTATCATTTAATTTTATCTCTTTTCTTTTCTTCCATCTAAACTTCTCCAGTATTTTTTGAGCCCCTACCATAGTGTAGGAAGTGTTGTAGATGTTAAAGATACAATGGTGAACAGGAGAGACAAAAGCCTAGGTATCAAGGAGTTTACATTCCAGTGGGAAAACATTAAGAAACAAATATGTAATATAATGTCATGTAATTATAAAGCACTCTGAAGAAAACTAATGGAGGCTAAAGGGACAGAAGAGATTCTTTAGGAGTAGGGTGATCGGGGAAGGCTTTACACAGACTATAGCATCTAAATAAAGACTTATATAAAGTGAAGGAGTGAGCCATGTAGACATCTTGCAGAAAAGCCCATTAGGCAACTATCAAAGCTGTTCAATGAAAATGAGTTTGACATGTTCCAGGAATACTAACAAGGAAAATGTGGTTGGAAACAGAAGGAAATGGAGTGAAGCTAAGCTAAAGGGAAGATGATAGGATATAAAGCTAGAAAGGCCCACAGGGGTGAGATTCTGCAGGGACTTATAGGCAATAGTAAATTGTTGGAATTTTCTTTCTTTTTTTTTTTTTTTTTTTTTTGTAGCGACAGAGTCTCACTTTATTGCCCTAGGTAGAGTGCCGTAGCATCACACTGCTCACAGCAACCTCCAACACCTGGGTTTAGGCGATTCTCTTGCCTCAGCCTCCCAAGTAGCTGAGACTACAGGCGCCTGCCACAATGCCCGGCTATTTTTTTGTTGCAGTTTGGCCAGGGCTGGGCTTGAACCCGCCACCCTCGGTATATGGGGCTGGCGTCCAACCCACTGAGCCACAGGTGCCACCTGGAATTTTCATTCTATAAAAGAAACTATGAACAGATGTTGACTAGGAGAGTGACATGATCTAACTTACATTAAAAAAAAAAAAGAGAGAAGACACTGGTGGCTATTAGGAGGCAAGTGGCTGGAAGGAGATAAGTTTGAAAAGCTGTTGTAGTACACTGAACAAGAAAAGGTTGCCTAGATGAGGATGGCACTGACAGAGACAGTGAGAAGTGGTCAAATCTAGAACATATTTTGAGGATAGTGCAACAGGATTTGCAGATCAACTGTGGATGAAATATGAGGGTAAAGAGGCACTAAAAGATTTGGCCTGAGAAACTGGATGAAAGGTGATACCATGCATTAAAGAAACCATATTTGAGAATAAAAATCAAGGGATTTTTTTTGTCCATGTAAGTTTGAAATGTCAACTGGACATCCAAAGAGCTAACCAGATATCATCCAAAAGAGGAAAGATATGTACTTGGAAGTCATTAGCTAACAGCCTTATGCTTAAATAAGACTGTCTAGATAGGAAATGAACCTAGACAGAGGAAATTGAAGAACTGTGCTTAGCAACACACCTGGACATTTCAACATCACAAAGAAAAGTATGGCTAGCAAAGGAGACTACGAAAGAACTGCCAATGAAATTTAGTAGGAAAATCAGTTCAGTATGAATTCTTTCGGAAAAAACAGTCAAACAAAGTGTTTCAATATGTAGCAAATGAAAATGTCAAATGCTACTGAAGGGTATGTCAAATACTTTGGGGAAAATTTATTAAAACTATGCCTTCCTCACTGCTGTATAATTTCTTGATGTTCAGAGTGCATTGTTCTAGCAATTCCTTTCTACCTCTAATTTCTTACTTCTATAGAATAGGACATTATATAACCGAGCTTCTTAAAACTATATGCAAAACAACTATAACTAGGTTGTGGGCCAGGCATAATGGCTCACTCTTGTTATCCCAGCACTTTGGGAGGTGGAGGCAAGAGGATCATTTGAAGTCAGAAATTTGAGAACAGCCTGAGCAACACAGCAAGACCCTAGCTCTCTAAAAAATAAAAAATTAGCTGGGTGTGATGTAGTGGCACACATCTGTCATCCAGGTATTTGTGAGGTTGAGGCAAGAGGACTGCTTGAGCTCAGGAGTTTGACATTGCAGTGAGCTATGATGATGGCACTGTACTCTAGCCTGGGAAACAGAGCAAGATCCTTATCCAAAAAAAAAAAAAAAGGTTCTGGAAATGATGTGAGAAGATCGTCAATAAGCAAAGTGAATGAGTTTCAGTGAATGAATTTTGTAACATTACTTATCCTTTTCTGTGACAAGGGAGCAGAGGTTCCTGATAGCTGGACTCTGAAGAAAGCCTACAGAACTTGTACATGAAAACTGGGAAATCATGAAAAATAAGAGGTTATATGTTAGTAGTGTTTTAAAGGATAACTACATACAAAGGGAAAAACAAAACAGCTAACCCAAAACTCCTACATCATGTGTAAGCACAAAAAACCTAGCATGTTGACAGATTTCTCTTTCAGTAAGCTTGGCAACTTGCACACACGATCCCTTACAGAGGGACAGAATATGACACTGGTATATTAAAAAGAATAAATTAATTCAAAATTTAAACTACTTACCGGCAAGCACAAGGGTGATGTTCAGTACAATGAATATTCCACAAAATAGGCCAACTCTAAAAGTAGTCCATGCTGGTGCAGGCTATGGACAGAAAAAATAGCATTTTAAGAATAGGACAAAATATCAAATGGATTTAGTAAATGCTGTATAAATTAGTAGTGTATGCCTCTGAGTTCTACCATGAAAATAATATTCCATAATCTGAATTTTTTATAAATTTGAAATAGGAAATCATCATCATTCTATAAATACTAGAATAGAGTTTCCAGTTGATGGAATTCTTTTTTTTTTTTTTTTTTTTTTTTTTGCAGTTTTTGGCTGGGGCTGTGTTTGAACCCACCACCTCCAGTATATGGGGCCAGCACCCTACTCCTTTAAGCCACAGGTGCTGCCCATAGTTAATGGAATTCTTTTACAGAAATCTGAGCCATGAAATAAGACCATATGTTAGGCATCAAATTCCACTTGGCTCTCCATGTATACAGGTCCCATATCCATGCATTCAACCAACAATGAATTGAAAATATTTGGGGGGGGGGGCAACCAATAAAAAATAATACCACTGAAAAATAAGATGCAGTGTAACAGCATAGCGTTTACATTGTATTAGGTAATGTAAGTAATCTAGGTATGATTTTAAAGTGTATGGGGAGAGCTGGGCATGGTGGCTCACATCTGTAATCCCAGTGACATAGAAAGCTGAGATGGGAGGATCCCTTGAGGTCAGGAGTTCAAGATAAGCCTGGGCAACATAGTGACACCTTGTCTCCCCCCAAATTTAAAAAGCTATGATCATGCCAGTGTACTACAGCCTGGATGACTGGTATTACAAATAGCATTGTTTTAAAATTGTGTAATTTATCATACATAAAAATATAATAATGTATTTGGACTATTAGAAATGAATCATAAAGCAAACATGTTGTTGCACGTATCAACAGGTTATTTGTTCTTATTGTTGAGCAGTATTTCATTGAATGGATATACCACAAATTGCTTATCCATTTATCTACTGATAGACATCTGAATTGTTCCCAGTTTCAGGCTATTATGAATAAAGCTGTTATGAACATTTGTGCATAAGTCTTTATATGGACATATGCTTGCATTTGTCTTGGGTAAGTATCTTGGAGTAGTATATGTTCAATTTTTAAAAAATCGCCAAACTCTTTTCCAATGTGGTTATACTCTATACTTTATATTTACATACTTTACATATATATCTACCGGCAGCATATGAGATAAGAGAGTTCCTGTTTCCTCCCACATTTAGTATGATCAAAACTTTGAGTCATTCTAACAAGTATGTATTATCTTATTGTGCTTTTAATTTGCCACCTTTATATCTTTTAGGACTTTTGCCCATTTTAAAACTTTTTATTGGGTACTAAAGTTCTTTATATATTCTAAATACAAATGATTTTCAGGTATGTTTTGCAAGTATTTTCTCCTAGTCTGTTGTTTTTCTTTCTATTCTTTTAATAGTGCCTTTTGCACTTGATCTCAGCTAAAGGGCCAAGAAGTGATTAATACTACCTTTTGAAGAGCAGAAGTTTTTAACTTTGATGAAGTGCTGCTTTTGGTGTCATTTCTAAGAAATCTTTGCATAACTCAAAGTCCCTAGGATTTTGTTCTATATTTCTTTATAGAAATTCATAATTCTATGTTTTCATTTAGGCCTATGGTACATTTACAATTATATAGTGTGAAGTATGGATGAAAGGGTTTTTTGGATATATGGAATCCAATTGTTCCACCATCATTTGCTGAAAACTCTATCCCTTTTTTCACTGACTTGTTTTGTATGTGTATCAAAAACTTATTTTCCACATATATGTTAAATCTATTTCTGGACTCTGTTCCATTCCATTGATCCACCTTGACACTAACAGCACATTCTCTTGACTACTGTAGCTTTAATAATAAATTTTCATAAGATAGTGTCAATCTTTCAAGTTAGTGTTCCAAAGTCTTGTTTTGGGTATTCTAGGTCTTGGCATTTCCATATAAATTTTAAAATTTGCTCACCAACTTTTACCAAAAACCCCAAAAGCCTGTTAAGATTTTTGAGTTGGAAGATGTTAATCTATAGAACAATTTAGGAAGAAATGCCACCTTAAAAATATTGGGCTTAGACAATATACCCATAAACATGGTAGATCTCTTATTTAAGTCTTTAATTTCTTTAGGCAATGCTTTATAGTTTTTTTTTTTTTATTACTTAGTTTTTATTTCATAATCATAAACTTAACTCTGCAATCCAGCTAGACGTGGAGAGGAGTAAGGAAAATATGCAAACCAAAGAGCTGCAGTGAGAGCACAGAGATTACAGGATATTGCAAGCAAATGGGGTACAAGGGTGCTCTCCTGAGCTACAGAAGGAATGGTTTGGTGGCTGAAACATTAAGTCAAATTTATTACAGTTGTCCACAGTCAGTAATGGTGATCTTCTTGCTGGTCTTGCCATTCTTGGACCCAAAGCGCTCCATGGCTTCCACAACATTCATGCCTTCTTTCACCTTGCCAAAGACCACATGCTTGCCATCCAACCACTCAGTCTTGGTAGTACAGATGAAAAACTGGGAACCGTTCGTGTTGGGTCCAGCATTTGCCATGGACAAGATGCCAGGACCTGTATGCTTCAGGACAAAGTTTTCATCTTCAAATTTCTCCCCGTAGATAGACTTGCCACCAGTGCCATTATGGCGTGTGAAATCACCACCCTGGCACATAAACCCTGGAATAATTCTGTGAAAGCAGGAACCCTTATAACCAAATCCTTTTTCTCCAGTGCTCAGAGCACGAAAGTTTTCTGCTGTCTTTGGAACTTTGTCTGCAAACAGCTCGAAGGAGACGCGGCCCAAGGGCTCGCCGTCGGCGGCAATATCGAAGAACACGCTGGGGTTGACCATGGCTGATACAAGACGATTATAAGAAGCGACAGCGTCTGCAAAGCCTGCTTTATAGTTTTTAATGTTAAGGTCTTTACAGATATTTTGTCAGAATTACTCCTAAATATTTCATATTTTGATGATCTTCCAAATAGTTTGTTAAAAAGTTTTTTGATTCCCAAGTTTTTTTTGCTGATATATAGATACACAATTGATTATCATATATTGTATTGGCCTTATATTCTGCAACCTTACACAACTCGCATATTAGTTCTAGTAGCTACTCTACAGGTTCACTGGATTTTCTACATAGATCAAAGAAAATCATCAATTTTACTTCATCCCTCTACTGTGAGTGCTTTTATTTCTTCTTATCTTATTGCATTGGCTATAATCTGTACTACAATGCTGAATAGAAATGATAAGAGTAAGATCCTTTTTTTTGTACCTAGACTTAGGAGAAAATATTCAGTTTTTCATCATTAAGCCTGATATTAATTGCAGGCTTTTCACAGATGCCTTTTATTAGGTTGCAGAAGCTCTGTTATTGATTTCAATTTCACTGCTACCAGAAAACATTCTGTATGATTTAAATCATTCTAGATTGAGACTTACTTAATAACAGAGAGGATATCACTTAAAATGCTTTTGTGGATATGTCTACTGTATAGATATCATCAAATCAATGCTTTTTTCAGTGTAACTGCTGCATTTAGATGAAGCTATGTAGTAGCTCAGCACATCTGAATGCACCCCCCCATACTATCAAAAAATTTTTCATTTTCATCATTTGATGAGACCAAGAAGTTAGCATGTCAGTAAGAATAATTAACAGAGGAAGTAGAGGATGAGAAGAGAAATGTGGGAAGACATAATTCATTATGAAGTGAAAACTGGCATCTAACTTTTTTAAAAACTAAAATAACAATTACTATTTATAAACTTTAGCTGAAATTCTTTTTAAGGCAATGAAACTACCTAAACAGACTTTTTATTATTAAATAGGCAAAAAACAAACCAACCACTAGAAGGAAATACTAACCTGAGCAGCTCCCAAAGGGGGGACACGTAAACGCTTCATAGCCTTTTGTCTGTCACCATCTTCAAGTTCATTGGTCACTACAGCCTAGAATTAAATTTTGACATAGGTTATACTAAACTTGAATTATGTGAAAATGATTCTGTACCATTTCTATATATGATATCCTGGTACCTTTTGGTGAACGTATATGATAAAGCGAAAGAAGAATATCCTAAACAAGACAGTATGTATCAAAGTTAGCAACTATTTATAAAAGGAATACAGAAATGATGAATTTTTCCCCTGAAAACAAAACATGAATGTAACTGAAAATATGTGGTAAATAGTGGGATTATTATACCTCAGTTTCAGAGATGAGCTGGTTGATTTTCTTGCATGTATAAAATGGGGCCACTTCCACATGAGCCACTCGCCAATCTGCTCCACGAGATGTTTCCAGGATCTTGTCATGCTTCTTAAGGATTTTGCGAAACCCTGTAAAATTCAGATTCTACCGAAAGAAAAGAAGAAAATAACTATAATTTCCATCACAATCAAAGAAGATGAAAAATAATAAGTAATAAGCATTGGCAGAGCTGACTAGACAAAGATTGAGTACTCAGGGAAATGGCAATGCTTTCAAAAAAGCATTTACTACTAAAAAAACAAGACTTTTCTTATTTCACTTATTCATTTCAAGGTAGTAGGCTATTAGTAACACCAAGAAACTCTGAACTTATGAACCCTATTATTTCTCTTCCAAATAAATTAATGAGTCCTAAACTCAAAACATTTTTGTTTCCATTTTTCTGTGTACAACTATTTTGTATAATATAGTTAGCTATAATTATATGTATGGAAGATATACATGGAAGATCATCTAATTCACTTAACTTGTATTCTCCTTCCATTCATTCTTAACTTGGGGATAAGAGTACAAAAGAGAGTTAGTAGAAAGGAAGAAGTGTTCATACTTATAGTGCTCCAAAACATCATGGTTAGGAGCCCTCACTTTCCCTCAGTCTCTACAATATCAAAATACTATAATGTATTTTGAGAATTTCAATACTCTATTATTCTGATGTTCTTTTCTCAGCATGCAAAAAACCCCAGAGAACTGTGGATATGCAAGGTTAGAGCTATAAATCAGAGATCTCTCAAATTTGCTGATCATACATCCCCATCAGTAAAAAATTGAGGACTAACTCCAGGGCATGCTTTGCTTGCTTGTTTATATATTTTTCCATCATAATATATGATCTTAAATTCTGCTTAGGGTACATGTATCAAGACTTGGAGATAGCTTTTAATCAATTTTCTCTTCTTCCTCATTCTCAAAATAAATGTATTCTTACATAATAGATAACTCCAAAGAATTAAGGATAAAGCAGAACTTTTATAATTAACAATTATTTTTGTTTTCCCAAAGAGCTTTTTATAATAACCCAAAAGTTGCTAGAAAAGTTAATAAAATAAAATTGACCAAGGGGCTTTCCATGTAATATATAAGCATTGTTAATAAACTATGAAACACTAATGTTTAAAAGCATTATAGGAAAGAGGAAATACCTTTTGTTTATTTAAAAAATTAAATTATAAAGGTATGGATAAATTTCAAAGCAAAGGAACTTCTCATCTATCTTACATAATTAGTTTTCTAAATTATTTTCCAACTAGGTTCTTCTTTATATGACATCACCAATGAAGAAAGGAGAATTATAAAAAGAAAGGATGACAATAAGAGCATGTATTAATTTAAGATTACTGCAGACCTGAGACCTTAATTACCTTTTATTCTAAAGATCTAATACTTGAGGCAAAACTTTTTGTGTAATTTTTAGTTTCTATATGGAATATCATTATATTACGACCCTAACTACTCATTATTAGTAATAACCACGAGAATAAAATGAAAAAGCTCGGTGCCTAGAGCTCAGCAGCTAAGGGTGCCAGCCACATACACCAGAGCTGGAGGGTTGGAATCCAGCCCGGGCTTGCCAAACAACAATGACAACTACAAGCAAAAAATAGCCAGGCATTGTGGCGGGCGCTTATAGTCCCAGCTACTTGGGAGGCTGAGGCAAGAGAATTGCTTAGGCCCAAGGTG